ATCTCCATGACCCTATTTATACGTGAGTCACCACAATGAATATCAACAGGCTACTTAAGCATTCAACACATCATTGTCAAATTTAGATTTACAACTGTCCTGCAAGATAAAATGGGTGTTCAGAAATAAGCCACAAGTTCATCAACTGAATTTTGCTTTGAGACAGGAATAGGGAGGCTATATTAGACCCTGCATTACTCAGATGTGATCAGCTAATTCACTGTGAACCACAGATCACAATTTGGACCTCCTGCATGGCTCAATAGCACACACTTATCCTACGCTCCATCAAATTACTCTTAGATTGTAGCTATTATAAACTGTTGGGCAATGCAGGGAAATCACATCAATACTCCATGATAATTTCTAACCTATCTTCTTTTTAAAAAGAAAATAGAACATTGATGAGGGGCCAAGGAAAAGATAATACAGGGAATGTGCTGATCCAATATCCCTGCTATATGTTTGTATGTGTAGATAAAATCAGATTTAGTTGTAATAACACTCTAGAACATTAATTAATAGAATGGTGATTAACTTGCTTTATACAACAAATTACCACTTAATAGAACTTGCCTGTTGGCTGACGATATTAAGTCCCACTTGCCCATCACCTCTGACCCACACCTGCAAGAACAAATTCACGTAGATGCTGGAAAACTTGAAATAAAGAGAGAAAATGCATAAATGATCAGATCAATGACTCTTCATCCCTTTTGATGCAAGTTAATTGATCTGAAACATTCACTCTGCTCTCCTGCTCCCAATTCATATGTTTAAATGTAAAGCTATATAAAAGCCAGGTTAATCCACAACTGATGCACTGTGTACTGTTCTAGTTCAACATATCTTAAGAAGCTTATATTGGTTGCAAAGGAAGTCCAATAATTGGTTATTTAATCGAAGCTTTCATGATATTATGGAGACAGATAGACTAAACTGGGAGAAAACATGTTATCTGGTTGGCAGTTTTGTTGGATGAAGCAAAGTCTAAATATTAGAACGAGATGGTTCATGAGTGAAATTAGGAAACACATCTCCACAAAATGGTTGTTAAAAATTCAGAACTCTTTTCTACAAACAGCAAATTTTGAATGCAATTTTAGAAGCCTGTTGACTCAAGACATGAAAGGATATGAGGCAAAATTGCATGTGTGGAGTTCTACACTTTACAAATGCTTCAAGCTTCCTCGTTGTAAGAGCAGACTGGGTAAATGCACATCTCCCTGATGGATTTACTGTCCTCGTTCCATCAATTAGGCAGGCTAACAAAATGATCATGAACACAGCTGGCAGTTACGTTGTACAGTTCTATATGCATTGCCAATTTGACCCCATCTTGTGATTCCCCCTCCCCACACATACCCAAAAAGCATTACTTACTGAAATTAATGCAAGCCTTCCAACCACTCAGAATTTCTAATACACAAATTAATGGAATTCATGACAGCATTTGGGAATGCATTATCAATGTTCTCCTTACCACAATATGAACTGAATGGTAACTCTCCCAGAACTACAAAACTTCAACACAATCAAGAAAGGCAAAACAATGAATATAAGAGCAGACATTCAGGTATAGTAGGAACTGCAGATGCTGGAGAATCCGAGACAACAAGGTGCAGAGCTGGATGAACACAGCAGGCCAAGCAGCATCATAGGAGCAGAAAGGCTGACGTTTCGGGCCTAGACCCTTCATCAGAAATGGGGGAGGGGAAGGGGGTTCTGAAATAAATAGGGAGAGAGTGGGAGGCGGATAGAAGATGGATAGAGGAGAGGATAGATGGGGAGGAAACAAACAGGTCGAAGAGGCGGGGATGGAGCCAGTAAAGGTGAGTGTAGGTGGGGAGTTAGGGAGGGGATAGGTCAGACCTGGGACGACGGACAGGTCAAG